ATATTTTATAAATCTGTTTAAACCGAAATTGAACTGTTAAAAGAAATTTATATCAAATTTATTATGTACATTTTATATAAAAAATCTCCATAATTGTACATTTATAATAGGCGCTAAACTTTGATCAGATGAACTGTAAAACTCTATCTGTGCGCCTCAATCAACTGTGATAATTTTTACGTCCCAATCATTATGTTTAACGTTGCCTACATAACGTCACGAGAATGACATCATAATGTAACTTGTTTACAATTTCAAATCTACTAATGAGCCCGCATGGGGGCGAAAGCGCTTTAGATAAAAGTTTGAGTTTGTCATTTGAGTTTGGATTATATATATATATATATATATATATATATATATATATATATATATATATATATATATATATATATATATATATATATATATATATATATATATATATATAGAGAATTAGGATTTAAGAAAAAAATACCTGTCATATTCAGGCCTGGTGGAAGCAGTTTTAGTTTGGGGAAGGGGGAACAAACATTTTAGTAAGGGGAGGGTATGGGGCATTACCGAATTTCAGAAATTCTTAAACTTTTAAAAAAGGTCAAGAAACGTAATTATTGGGTCTAAGGTCAGGGTCTGAATAGTTGGTATCAAGAGGAAGGCATACACTTGTGAAATATGAGAGCCCTATAGTACTTATTGTTCAAAATTTATAGTCAAACAAAGTAGGTCAAACTCCAAGGTAAAATATTCCTACCAATTAACACGTCTAGCCATTATGAATATACTTTCGAAGAATAAAAGATCTAGCACCAGTTGTTCAAAAGTTATGACTAATGTAAACGTTTCATATTTTTTGTTAAAGTTGGTCAAGGTCAAGAGGTCGATGTGGGGGTACCCGACGAAAGGTCTTGTCACTAGAAAAACACCTGTGAATTATGAAAGCCTTTACCCCAACCAGTCAAAAGCTATAGTCAAGGTTCAAGTTTTTTTGAGGATATAGCTAGAAGGATGGACATGGCAAAAACTCGAATTTTCGATTACGGTGGCATAAAAACAAATTAATATAATATTAACTGTACTGAAAGGAAAAAAATGATTACTAAGAAAATATGTGAAAAGTTTTTGACTTTTTATTTGGCCTAAAATTATAAAAATTGGTCAGATGTGTATTTTGGTTACTTTGCACTTAAATCACTGGTCCCATTGACGTAGCATCACTTTTGAAAGTGGTATGCCAACTTATTTCAGTATCAATTTTTTTATCTACAACACTACATTTCCCTTATTTCACAAAAAGTCGGAAGGGGGAGCAGCCTATCAATGAACATTGCCTATAGTATAGCTAATGCTATGTGCCTCGGTCAAAATACTCTCAACCATGACGTCACGTAGGGAAAATGATTAAAAGCCAAAAACACGTGCATTTTGATGATGACAATTTTGTAAGCAAAATGATGCATTCGAGTTACAGACATTGTTTTTCCATATTTGCAGTCAGTATACATGTGCATTTCTTACAACCATGATATGGCTGACGGAAGTTACATTGGGTGTAGTAATTGAATTGCATAAGTGAATAAAAAAGATACATGTTTCTGTGCAGTTTGTTTCTAACTTTCCAACCAAAAACTTTTTTGGTTGTCAGACAGTAACTTAAAAGGTTTCAAAACAATCATGACGGTGACGTTGGCGCGTAACAACGTCACATAAATATAAGGCTTTTCACCATGCCACCTCGGTTACTGCCAGGGCATTATCACTGAAACCGATATTTATACAGCATACAGTCATACTTATTTTTTCAACCTAAAATTGACAGAAACTCTCTGCTTTTATTTCGTCTGCGATCTTGGCAACGTTACCGTCCATTTTACTCTCATACGCGTACGTACGCGTCGTATGCGTAATGTTTTAGGATGTTCACACTGGGAAAATGTAGCCAGTGTTTGTCGAGACTTTCTTACAAACATTCACGGGTACCAAACCAGCTGAATTCTGTAAATTCTATCCTAAATCGAAAATTCGCGGGATTCATTGGGCGGGGGGAATTTGTTGGCTTTAGAATGTTACAGTTACTCTCAACCACAGGCTTTTGGATCGCCTGAAAAAAAAATTGTGTGTAAAAAAATAAAGGTACTGAACTCTTACACCGGGTACCAAATTGCGCTAATAAAATATTTTTTATTCACATGCTCTAAAATTCTACTTTCTATTTAAATTTATTCATAAATAAATATTCTTCATTTCTTCATTTCTACCAAAGCTCATTCCGAAATTCCATATTTTTTCTCGAGATATTCTGAATTCAATCTCAAAAATGACCTACTTTCTTTTATTCCACATAAGCCTGGGCCCCTAGCCATTCACATCTAAACAGACGGTGTTTGAAGTGCAGCGAAGAGTTGCATAGTATTTACAAGATCTTTCAACATTTTAAAGTTGATTTCTTACTCCGGATTGTAAGGTTAAGTCCGTATTAATTCCTTTCGCGAAAAATTAACTCGAAAACGTCTGCATCAACAACTACACCGCCATGTTGATTATGAATGTAAAAGAAGCTATGGTGGAACGATTTTTTCCCGGAATGCATATACACTTTTCGATTTTCAAATTAATTAGACAGCTAAAATGTTGTTTGTGACTTAGAAAGATCATATGATCAAATTAGAGAAAATCCATGTAAAGCTCGAATGCAAATGAGCAAATATTCATTGAGTTTAGCATAAACTCCGGGGAAAATTTGTCCCGTCGTTCCCGCTTAAAAATTAGTGTAGCCCTCCGAGGCCCAAGCTGATGTCGAGTAAAAAAATTAAGGTCAATTTTGGAATTGATTTCAGAATATCTCGAGAGGTATAAGGAATTACGGAATGAAATTTGGTAGAAATGAAGATTGTTTATATATGAATAGATATGGATAAAAAGTAAAATTGTTAAGCATTTGATTTAAAAGAATTTTATTGGCGAAAGTAGGTACCCTATGAAAAGAGTTCCATACCTTTATTTTTTTTTTTTCAACACCTCAATTTTTTTCTAAGCGATCTAAAGGCCTGTGCTCTCAACCATTAACTCTACCGCTAGAAGGGTTGAATAATAATCCTATATGAAAAAGATTATTGCTCTGATGAACTCATTGCACAAGAGAATCAAGGCTGTTACTGATGCGCAAGGGTGATGATGAGAATTTTTAGTTTAATTTTTGGGGGTATAGACATATCAGTTTTAATAACTCATGAACTATCAGTCAAAGTCACACAAGATTTGTTGATTAAAGATGAATTAAAATGTTTGATAATAATATTAGAAAACATATTCGAAATAATAGTTTTAATTTAATTCAGAAGTTTACAATGCGTTTCTTTTTCCTTTTAGTATATATCTTATATGTTAGAAAGAGACAATCTTTCCTTCCGAAAACTATTACAATGAAGCGAATTGAAGTGTTAAATTTTTCCGTTTGGATGAAACGTTTTGAGTCATGTTTTGAACGTTAATTATAACACTAGAACTGTCCATTATAGGACAAAATACCCCCTGCTGGGTTTTTCAAAGGTGCTTAATCATGAATATTTTATGGATCTAAGAGAAGAGAGAAGTGCTTAAACATTTTTAGTGCAAATGTAATTGCTCATTATATTTTTTTATAAATGACACGAAGGAGCAGCCTAATAAAAAATAGACTAAATATACGGACCAGATACGAATTATGAACTTTTTCTGTCAGTGTCCTTGAACGTGCACAAATGACCTTAGGTCAAAGTCATGACACACCCTCAGGTCATAAGCAATCTTTGTGTAAACAAAGAAGCCTCCAAGTTTATCCATAAAAAAGATATGGACCAGGCACAAATTATGAAGTTTTGCCTTTCAGTGACCTTAAACAGGTTGGGACCAATCGCCCAAATGGGATATAATAGCCCGTTTGGGATATAATATCCCAAATGGGCTATAAATTTACAGTGCGAAAATTGAAAATTTTTATTTTAGCAAGAAATATCATAAATCCGCATCATAACACTTAAAAAGGAATAACTTTTGGTAAGCAAGTTTTTCTGCAATCCTACCGTTTGTAAGATTGATCCCCAAGAAGTTAAGGAACTTCCGAGGGATCAATCTCCTAAACAATGGGCATACAGGAAAACTTGTCAACCAAAAGTTATTCCTTTTTACACGTCCTGATGCGGATTTATGATATTTTTAGCCAAAATAAAAAAATTCAATTTTTGCACTGTAAATTTATAGCCCATTTGGGATATTATATCCCAAACGAGCTATTATATCCCATTTGGGCGATTATATCCCACTTGGGCGATTGGTCCCAACCTGTTAAACTTGCACGAATGACCTTGGGTCAATGTCATGATACGCCCTTAGGTCATGAGCAATCTTTGTGTGTAGTAGTAGATTCTAATGTTCCTCCGTAAGAAAGATATGGACCGGACACGTTTGCCCAGACAGACGGCTAGACGGACAAAGAACAAGCTGATTCCTATATACCCCTCCCCCCAAACTTCGTTTGTGGGAGTATAATAATGAAACGACCATTTCTTTAGAAACGAAAAAGAAATTTTGCTCATTATGTTTAAGGACACCCCATTCTTCGTGACAAGCAGCATCGAAATGGAGATTTTTAGAGTTTTAAGAGAGAGAGAGAGAGTTAGTGAGTTCTCGCTTCTGTAAAACACGTATTGATATGATTTTGTTTTTTACATAATTATGAATTTATCATATTTGTTGGTGAGTTACCATAAAACATATATTGGTCGCACACGTGCTTACTCGGTGTATGTAGATCATCACTTTGATTGACTAATAAATTTATGGAATACCTGTTCTACAGGCATTCTAATGAACCATTTGACCGATTTTTTCCATTCTAAAGAAATGGGCGTGTCATCATATGACAATCAACTTCTAAAGATAGCTCAAAACGTTCCATCCAAACGGAAAATTTTACTTCTTCAATGCATTTAATTGTACGATGCATTTAAAAGTAACTTTATAAAACGATAAATAAACAATACCAGTCAAATTTCTCTGGATCGTTTGCTAGACCAGTAATATCTATTCCCTTGTCTGTGAAGCACTTAAAGAAATCACATCTGGAATTACCTATAATAGACACAATTACGTAAGTAGACCTAGATTTACAGGACAGAAAAACCAAAATACATCTGTACTTATATCTTAAAGGCTTAATTTCCAATATATAATAACAGTTAATCTCCATGTAGATAGGGATGGATTTATACAATAGTGCTCAGGAGTTTTATATTTTTTTTTATCTTTAGATACTAGGTAGATAGGAAAGTGCACGTGCATTTTAGTTTACAACTGGTGACTTAATTTCGCGTATAAAAATGTAGCAATTCATCTTCTTCAGTCAATAAACAGTGAATCTTTCCTTTTTCAATCGAATTAATTTCCATGTACAGTTGTTATTTGCTTTCATTCAAAATATATTAGCTTAAAATGGAACATATAAAGAGTCGGTGAAAAAAATATTTCTCAGAAAATACAAAAACAAAGTTACTCTGACTTGTTGTTTAAACTTTGACCCCTTAAAAATATGTGATTTTACAGAATTAATACTGTCAATATTAAAGAATAAGGCGAAAATAACGAGCCCTGGATATACAAAATTTATTTATGATAATCGGTCCGCAATGTTCTTGTACATACCACATGTCAAATTGATTCCCTGTAAAATCTGTGTGAAATTTTGATTTGAATCACAGGAACTTTTGAATGGCTCAAGACAAGCTGCTACCTGCTCCAAGGCTCTGTAAAATCAAAAAAATAATTGTACTGTGTTGCAACCACTATTGAAATAACGACCACTATTGAAATAATTATTCCAATAGTACTCATATTTCAATAGTGGTTACTATCTATGTTTGTTATTGAAATACACTCTCACCCACTTCTGAAATAATTATTTCAATAGTGGTCGTATTTGAATAGTGGTTATTACCTCTGTTTGTAATTGAAATGCACTCTCAACAACTATTGATATAATTATTTCAATAGTGGTTTTATTGCAATAGTGGTTACTAACTATGTTTGTTATTGAATTGCACTTTCAACCACTATTGATATAATTATTTCAATAGATGTTGTATTTCAATAGTGGTTACTAACTATGTTTGTTATTGATTTGCACTCTTAACCACTATTGATATAATTATTTCAATAGTGGTTGTATTTCAATAGTGGATACTAACTATGTTTGCTATTGAAATGCACTCTTAACAACTATTGATATAATTATTTCAATAGTGGTTGTATTTCAATAGTGGATACTAACTATGTTTGCTATTGAAATGCACTTTCAACCACTATTGATATAATTATTTCAATAGAGGTCGTTATTTCAATATTGGTTGCAACAGTGCTGTCTTTCTTTCATGTTCCTTTAATTTTACCTTTTCAAAGAACTTTGAAAGGTATAATTTTATTCACAAACATTTTTTTTAAATAATATAAATCAATTTAGAGTCGTTAGCTTTATCACAAAAGTAATATTTATTAGGTTCTAGCTCTATCGGTTAGTGACCAGAAAAGCTTAAGGTAGTCCGATCCTCAGGTATAAAAAATTAGCAGTGAAGTAATCAAAAACACACATAAAAGTATCTTTGAATCCACAAAGTTATGTAAATTTATCTATCTTTTTCTTTAAAGTAAAATATTAAAGTTAATCACATTATATAGGGAAAATTGTCAAATCTCCAATATTTTTGCAGAAAAAGCGAATTGGAATATCAGCAATGCATTTTCTAATTGCAAATTGATCAACAAATATATTTTCGGTTTAAAACGATATGTATCCAGGTATTCAGAGAAATTGTTCTGATTTTTATACTTATTTGGTATTTTTTGTCTTCTATTTCCGTCATGTACTCTATAATACATAGTGTAAAAGGCTTGTACTATCATTGCAAGACACCAAAAATCACATCTTATTCCATTTCATGCTAATATGCAAGTATCTAAGGCTGGATTCAAGAAAATCTTATTTCTCTAAAATTGCATTATTTTTTGTTTCCTTTTATAGGGTACACATGTCAACTTTTTGATACGTTTACAAAAAACAAGAAACATTGATAGTGAAGGAGTAATAGATGAAAGTCTTTTTGCCCCTTATTAGAAAGGTCAGCCCTTTTTCTTCATGTCAAATGATAAGGCTTGTGATATACAGATTTGTTTAATTTTTTTTACTATCAATGTTTTGTTATAAATTACTGAAGTAAAAATGTTCATCTTTACAATCTGCAACAATATATTGTAAAATTATCATCATATGTTACGTAATTAGGAGCCAGAAGGGTCCAAAATGCTAGTCCTTGATTCTTTATACAACTGTGCCTCCAAAGGGAAAACTATTTTGATAAGCATTATTAAACAAAAGATGTTCAGAATTGTATTCTCAACAATATACAGCCATTCAATTTTAGCACAACTGACCAATTAAGGGCTTTAAGGGATGGCCCCTATATATTTCTATTCTGCATAGCTCGAAAAGCAAAAGAAATTTCTGAATAGTTGTTGAACAAAAAATCTTTCGAATCTTGAGATGTATTATTTGATATGACGAAAAATGGTTTGATCCCTCAGGTTAGGGGCCCAGAAGGGTAAAAAAAACTTTCATCTATAGCTTTTTTTAATGTTATATAATAAGGATTTGGAGATAACGAACAATATTCAATATCAAAGTCCATAAAACAATACAAAATAGGTGCAGAGCAAACACGGACCTCCGAAACATCAGAGGTGGGATCAGGTGCAATGGAGGAGTGAGCATCACCTGCTGACCGGTCACACCCGCCGCGTGCTCCTTGTCATGATCGGGAAATAAGGGAAAATCCGTCGTAAATTCAGTATATAAATAATGGACTAACAATTAGTATGAAAAACGTCAGTCAGCTTTTGTCTCAACAAGAGGCCAACGGGCCTTATAGGTCACCTGAGTAACATGTAACAACTTTCCAACAACTGAATTTGGTTCGACTATTTTAAACTTAAAGCCTCGAAATTCACAATTTTGAAAGAGGCACCATTGTTTAACATAACTATAGACTTGGCATGCTTACATGTACTTTGGAAACTTTGGTTTAGACTTTTTTGAGTCAAACAGATTATATAGTGAAAATGCATTTTTTCTTCTTATCTGCACCTGGGTATAAAATAAACTAAATAATTACAAAGTTATGTTGAATAAGGCTGCCTCTTCCAAAATTGTAAAAATTCATGGCCCCAGGGTCAGGGGTTATATAGATTATATATGGAAATGCATGAATTCTTTGAAAATCTTGATCTTTGCTCCAGGGTATTTAATAAACAAACCAAAACGTAATTATGTTAAATAAGGCTGCCTTTTTCAAAATTGTGAATTTCATGGCCCTGGGGTTAGGGGTTCTATTAATTATATAGTGAAAATGCATAAATTCTTTAAAAATTCTTCCTCTCTGCTCCTGATATAAAACAAACTAACCAAGTGCATATTTATGATGAGCAGGAAGGTCTCTTCGAAAATTGTGAATTTCATGGCCCCTGGGTTGTGGGATCTGGTGTTAGGGTGGGGCTCTATTGATCATATAGTTAAAATACATGACTTCATTAAACATCTTTTCTGCTCCTGAGTTTTAAGTAAACTAAACAAGTACATAGTTATATTGAATAAGAGTGACTCTTCCAAAATTGTGAATTTCATGACCTTTGGGTCATGGGTTCTGGTATTAGGGTGGGATACTATTGATTACATAGTAAAAAATACATTAATTCTTTAAAAATCTTCTCTGCAAGCTACATGGCATAATTTTTTCTCATGTTGACAATTTCTCCATGATGGAAATGAGATTTTTTGAGAGTCAAATTTGCAAGTATAGAGAGATTTTCAGCAGGAAATGTTGCCAATTTCATTATATTATGTTTTAATCTTAAGCTAGATCAAAAGAGGTAAGTTCAAGATCACACTAATATATAATATCGCAAGTAACTCACAGTTATCGAACTTACTGCCGCTCTTTTGCGGGGGAGTCGAGAAAGCTTCAAATCTTTAAAGATTTTTGGGGCACATGGCATTCTTAAAGGTGGTGACAATCGAATGATTCGAACGATTTTATGCCAAAAGAACAATGCATTGTCAAGGATTGAACTCCAAATAGTAGATTGTCAAGTAAGGAAAGTATAGAATATTTTTTCAGCTTTAAAATGTGGCCATTTTCAATGAAAATGAGTCTGCTTAGTTAAAATATCGGAAAAATGTACCATTTTAGGATTAGCTCCTCTCTAAAATTGATTAGGCGGGTTCAGCGATTGTTTAGCAATGTATTCTATCAGATTTTTTACTTATTTGTCCTTGTAAATTTTACAATGATCGATTTTGCATTGTATTCAATAGCACATTTGCCCCGATTCAACAGACGTTTCCTACCTCCATCGCGAAAGAGTTCCGCGAAGTTAAGTAATCGCGATATCAAGTAATACATGGAAAAGTTACAAAGTACAGAGATCGACCAACATGTAGCAACTCAGAACAAAAGGCGACTTAGTGATGGACGGACTGCATATAGAGAAATCATAGGGATCGAAGATCAACTGGGCAGTGTGGGGAACGAGACCAAACCTTGCATTTAAAATGATAGATATGAGTACTAAGCCTAGAAGTGGAACGGTGACAAACGTAATCAGAGTAACAAAAACCATTAATTGGCTTAAGGACTTCAAAAGTATCATGAGATTTCCAGCCTTAGATCTTAAATAAAAAAAGACATGCTAAAGATATTGACATTTACTGATACATCTTTAGGAAACCTTAACGAGGGAACTAAAAGTACGCAGGGAGCTATTATCTGGATCGTGGACAAACATGGATAATGATGTCCCCTTTTCTGACTGACGAAAAAGGTTGATTACTACTAACAAACATTGATAATAAAATAAATTCAACTATTATTTTCCTTAAATTCATGTTTCATTTTATTTATTTGCAAGTGTTTTTTACAAACCAGAAGTCTCTGTCGATTCTGTTGCTCTTCTGGTTTATGCTTATAAAAAACTAAGAGAAAAGTACCAATAAGGACTTGCTACTTTAAAACAGCAATAAATAGAATAATGATCCTTGATGAAGTCACTTTTTGTGGCAATATTGCAATAAGACTACAACTGTAGGAGTAGCTCTTAATAAAATTTTAAAGAATTTTCAATTCAAGGTAACATGGCAACATCATTCATCAGAATAATTTTTCAAAAAACAATAAAGACAATAATGCATCTTAGTGTAGTCTATCTGCATACCACATTATATTATAATCAAACTAAAACTGTATTTGTAATAGCATTTTAAAATTATTTTACAGAAATTAAGTTACCATTGAAACACTGTTCATTGAAATCAAAAATCTATACAAAGAATTATGTATCTTAGTGTAGTTAATCCGAAATTCCTCTGATTCTAACCCTGCTTTTATATTGTGACTTGTGCAGGGGAGAGTCAGAGCGGAGGCAATATTGAAAAGTGGTAATTCAGCGACACCAGCTGGTGTCGCACCTCTGCCTACCTTTTACAACTTTATTTCGTGTACCTAACTCCCGAAACGCGAGAAATCAGTAAAACAATTATTCTCCTAATTGTTAATCGTCATTTGTATGATGCTTTCGCCGTTTAAACGACCCTATCACCGACAAATAAAGCATCACTTGAATTAGGTCGCCTCCTCGCCATTCGACTTCCTTGCGCATGACGTCAGCACACAAATACACAGAATTCCAATCGGTTTGAAAGTAACATGTGCTCCAAACACATGTGGACTTTTCGGAAAAATATGAAAGTATTGTAAAAAAAAAATACAAAAAAACAACATAATGATGTTTCATTTATTTATTGATAAGGAAAGTATGGTGGCATATTTCTGCCCCCTACATGCACGATACATTATGTTAACATGCAACATAATTATGTAGACATGCAACGTATTTATGTCAACATGCTAGTTAAATATGTTGACATGCAAGTTACTAACCTTATACGAGGATATAAATTAAATATGGGCAAATTTATTTACTAACGCCTGTATCTGACATTTAAGATGCTAGATGCAAAATAATTATGTAGAAATGCGACTTATTTATGTCAACATGCAACTTATGTATGTCAACATGCAAGATAATTATGTCAACATTCGACTTATTTATGTCATCATTGAAGATAATTAAGTCATTCATGCGACTTATTTATGTTTACATCCAAGATAATTATGTCAACATGCAAGATAATTATGTTAAAATTGAAGATATATAAGGTGATATGCAAATTAATATTATCTTGCATGTTGACATAAATATCTTGTAGTAAAAACATAACTCGCATGTTGAAATAAATATCAAGATAATTATCTTGCATGTAAACATAAATATCTTGCATGTCTATATAATTATCTCGCATGTTAACATAATTATCTTGCATGTTAACATAAGTATCTTGCATGTTGACATAACTAAGTCGCATGTCTACATAAATATGTTGCATCTTGCATCTAAAATGTCAGATACAGGCGTTAGTAAGTAAAATTGCCCATATTTAATTTACATTTTCTTTTAAGACTAGTAACTTGCATGTCAACATAATTTACTAACAGTTAACATAAACATGTTGACATAATTATGTTGCATGTTAACATAATTTATCTTGCATGTAGGGGGCAGAAATATGCCACCATAGGAAAGAAACTGTCAAAAACAACTTTTATGCTAATATGCGGTTTAAAAAAAACAGCATCAACACCACAAATGACATTTTCACGTGATAGTTTGTTTGTGTATTTGTGTGTGATTAAATTAAACTTACGTGCAATTTACATCTTTCGAACCTTGTTGGGGAATTTTAATCCCAGAAAGACATGGAACATACCCTGCCGAATCACACTGAGCGTCACAGACTCCTAAATGAAAAAATGATACATGAGGATGACATAACAAATTTAGATTGATCAAAGTAAAGTACAATTCAGGGATTCTAAATGCTATTAAATTTTAAAATATGCATTATTCCAATATCTAAATATGTCCTTGAAGAGTATTTCTTTTTCAAAATTTTAATTCCATTTCCATTCGAGTAACAATCGTTTGTACAGCTGTGAATAAGATGTATCAATCAGCAGTTCCTTTTTATGTCCCGGTTATCAAAAATTCGGTGATTTAGTTTTATTTCTGTCTGTTTGTCTATTTGTCCGCTAAATCTTTACCTTGCTCATAACTTCTGAGTGGTTGGGGCTATGATTATATATATATATATATATATATATATATATATATATATATATATATATATATATATATATATATATATATATATATATATATATATATATATATATATATATACAAAAATGTGCCTGGAATGTATGTACAGTAAAACTCGGTTATAGCGAAGTCCTAGGGACCTGTGAATTTAATTCGCTATATCCGTAATTCGTTATAACCGTATAACGAATTCGTAAAACCATATAAAGCGAATTCGTAATATGCATGTTTTCCTTCAAGTATTACTACCAAATATGTTTGGGAAGCAAATATTACAAAACGTACCTTCGATAACTAAGGTTTTATTGTGATTTGAATTATATATATACAATTCCATGAACAAATATAAGTCAGTTTAATTTATCAAAGTTTGAGATCTTTGAAAGTTCGTTATAAAAGATGTAAATTTCATTATATTTAACTTCAAAGGGACCCAAAATCAGTTCGCTATATCCGTAAATTCGTTATATCAGAGTTCGTTATAACCGTAAAATTTTACAAGGATTTGTTTAGAATTTTGCCGGGGACCCAGAAAAACTTCGCTATATCCGTGAATTCGGTATATCCGTGTTCGTACTAAACGAGTTTTACTGTATATTGTTGTAATAAGTGATAATGACTGGTATCATAGGTAGAGTGGCCACAGGAAAGGATATTATTGAATACCTGGGATTTTTTATGTGAATATTAGTATAATAGTGTTAGAAGTATAGATAAGTGCTTATAGCCCAGCTATAAGTGGAGTAGGATTTGTGTCTTCTTTTATATAGTGGGTTCATATGCAAGTCTGTCAGTATATATATGTATATATATATGTACAAATAGACAAACAGACAGAAATAAAACTAAATCACCGAATTTTATATATATATATATATATATATATATAAAGCACTAAAAATGACCAACGACACGAACAATAAAAATTGTCAAATTTTCGGGACGCCCTGTCCCTTCCTCAGGACAAAGAAAAAAGTTAAAAAGTCATAAGAACAAAGGAAAAAGAGAAACAAAAACAACAAGCACTACTACTAAACTACTAAACACTAGATATTTATATACTTAATTACATGTTGAATTGGAAATTTTTAATAACTAATAAAGAAAGAAATCCGGACCGCTATGAAATGCGTCCGGTCTATCGGGTATACTCGGGTGAAGTGCGATTTACATAACTGAACGAATTAATTATGCTAATTAATTACGACAATCAGTAAATCGTACATTGTTTCATTCTCTCAAAGTGGGGTAACTTTACTTAATAAAGAATAATCAAAGAAAAATCATATAGCAGAGATATTTAAACATATGAATTATGATCAATTATAAATTTTGAAATATTTAAGGACTTATTATCGGGAAAAAATAATTAACAAAGGCGTAAGCAATACATAGTTATGTGGGTTGTTCGAGAGTTCGTAACGCAAATTAACTGTAGAGTTTACACTAAATTGAGAGAATAATCTTGTTTAGTATGATCAGGAATTGGGTCTAGTTTACGTTCATTCTGGTGAAGTCATTCAGTTTGTTAATACCATTAGGGCGGAATGACCTTAATCTATGCATCCAGAACTTTTCTTTGCTTTTCCTCTGAGCATCTGTCCATCTTGGGTTATGGTCAATCACCACTACTGTCATGTCCTCCCAAATGCTTTGGAGTTTTGACATATTGCTATAGATACAAACAATTCAAAGTATATCGTGACGTCATGTAACGTCAAAAGTGTTGCGCTTTCGTACAGTTCATTGTGAAGTCATTATGTTACGTTATTACGTTAACAATTAGACAAATAATGCGGGGAAATTGTGAATTGTCTATTATGACAGGGCATTTAGCTTTGAAACAATGAAATAAAATGTTTTTCCTTGGTTTCACGTTCTTTTTCGGAAGTCTTTTTATAGAACTTGTATATAGGAAACACTGTAAAATTAGGGAAAATGTTTTCAGCACATGCTCTGATATGTCCGCTCACGGCAGTGCACTGGTATTCAGTTTGACGAATCTGTTGACGATGGACAGTCATTCGGTGTCTAAGGGTGTCCCCGGTTTGGCCAATATAATGCTCGCCGCATCCTGAACATGTCATGACATATATCAAATTTGAACTCTCGCAGGTGAAGGAAGAATGAATAACGAATTTTCTTCCTTTTTTAGAAATAAATTGTTAGTTTTCCTTTAAAAAAAGGACAGGTTCCACATCTTGGATGATGACATTTTTTAACACCGGCTGTTTCTTCTGTATTGTTAAATTTAGCTCGTGTTAAAATCTTCTTTAAGGAGGGGCTCTGTCTTTTACTTTTGATTAACTGAAATTCACTGAGTACGTCTTTCATCCTTGGATAATTCTCTAAAATTGGCATGCTGGTTTTGATAACTTGGAAAAATTCTTGATTTTTTGGATTGTGTGTAGATACGTAGGGAATGAGATTTTTCTCGGGTTTTTCTTGTATCTGAGTAGGCTGTTTCTGTCATGTAGTTTGGCGTTGTCTATTCCTTTTTCAATCAGTAAGGTTGGATAATGCCTTTGTTTTAATAATTCCCGTAACTCATTAAATCTGACATTTAAAATATCCTTGTCCGATATTATGGTACAGAGTCGCCTAGATAAATTATATGGAATGTTGTTCTTGATGTGTTTTTGATGACTAATAAAAATAGTTTTTTCTGCAAACTTTAACCTTCGCCAAATCTTTTGAACCATAGAAGATAGAGACTTCATATTTGGTATGCATACACCACTGATTAAGCTCTTTTAAAGGACACCATGGTCAATGACCTTGTGACCTTGACTGTGACCTATACACTTAATATATCTTTTTTGTCGGTAAACTTTATCCTTCGCCATAACATTTGAAGGTAGAAAGATAGAGACTTGATATTTGGCATGTATACTCCCTTAATTAAGCCCTTTCAGAATACACCAAACTCAGTGACTTTGTGACCCTGACTGTGTCCTATATGCTAAAAATAGCTTTTTTGATCCTTTTAACTTTTGAACCATGAGAGATAGAGACTTCATATTTGGTATGCATACTTCACTAATCAAATTCTTTCAGATTACATCAAGATCATTGACCTTGTGACCTTGACTGTGACCTATATGCTAAAAATATGTGGGGGTTTTTTAACTTTGTTGCCGCCGGGCGCATAGTGTTTCACAAACACATCTTGTTATTTAAGTAAAAAGTTCTCGAGCAGGGCGCAAAACAACATACAATCATCCGATCTGGGTCCTTTGGATGAGACCTATAAACCGAGGTCCAACGAAAAAGATCCCACACTGCTGAAATTTGGATAAGTCGAAAATATTGTGTAGTTTTTAAAAAGCTGAAATGCACAAATCTATTATACAATAGTTTAAAATTAAACATAATTATGAAGATCTTACAATGCGACCTATTTCATAGAGCTTCCATACTTGTGTGACTCTACTTGGCTCCGGGGTTATGTTAAGAAATAACCAGAAGTCAAATGTGAATCAAAGTGATTCATAATGTTTAAGAAATATGTTAACTTTACAAATTACATGTAAAATAAAATAAACTGTACATAATGAGCACCAAATGCAATACTGAATACACACACATAGGTCAAGAATAAGGCTATCTTTAAAATAATGCTTGTTTAATGCAAATAAACAATTTAAAAAAACAAATAATGCTACTCCAGACGTAGGGTAAAATTATTTGGAAAATTCGTTTCCAGAAAATTTCAACATATTTGTTGACGAGATAAGAGGGATAAAAAATATGTCCTGGAATGTAAAAAAAAAAAAAAGTTTTGATACAGGCCATTTTAGTCAGTCGGTCGGTCTGGAGAGGGCAACCAAACATTTTTTTTAAGATGTTCTAATCTATATTACTTGTTTTTTTTTACTAGCAAAGTAGATCTCACCAATAGAATCAACAATCTAAAGAAGAAAAAATCTTTAAACAAAGTCAAACAACAAAAGTAACTTGAAGCTAATAAAACATTTTTATGTTGCAATAAATTAACGACTCTCCATAGGTTATTTCCCCCTAATGTTTCAATCATCTAGTAAAGGAGAAGTTCTCAAATCTCATATATTCAGTATATAGGTGAAATTTAAACCCTGGAAAGTAGACAAAATGAATTATTAATTTTATTATGCTTGTTTAAAATGAAAAGAGGTTTGTTTACAGTGGTTTAAATTGTCTTCCTTGTTGCATATGGTAACACATTTCTGCAATACATATTTTTTCAAACTTGTAAATATTTATTTCTAAAAAAAGACATCTTTCGCCTTTATATATTTTTCTAGAGTTCTTATATGTTAATTAGAATACAATTTACTAATTATAAATAAAAAAAAACTCTGTTGCAATTTGTTTAAGGTTTATGACAGTTTGACTGGACTAAAGTTGTACATTGCACCTCACCTGAAAAACACGTCATCAGACAAATTATTCCAACAACACGTAGCGTATTCATAATGTTTCCTTTGCTCCAAATGTTTCACTTCTAATGATCTCACACAATTTAAAAAAAAAAACACACAAGTGACTTTTGTATGTGATACTTAAAATTTCCTTCCTGAAGTGAGTACAAATCATAATTGCAGGGTAAACAAAATGAATTTTGCCTATCTATAATTTTAACTTTCTAATTAAATATTTTTTTCTTTACAGATCATGATAATTAATATTAAACAAATTAGAATTTTTAAGTTTTTCGACTTTTAGTATAAGAGGTATACGAGAATATTTTTTTTTAGATATGCATTTTATTGACACATATCCCTGCACTTCAGCAAAGTAAACTTCAAATAAATTGGGAGGTGCCCTCTTGATGGTACGTGCCTGTAATACTAAAGCTATTATATGAAATTTTGCTTTATTTATTTCAAATATCTTTTGTACAATGCATTTAAAATTTGTAACCCTAAGTACTATTCGTAAAATTTGTACACAGACGAAATGTTTATAACAAATTAAACTAACTTTAAAAAGTCCGACCCTGTCCAATGATTTTCCTTAATCTCGTTCTTAAAATGACATGATCATTGATCCCGTGGGTATATAAGGGGGAAAATGAACTGCACTTAAGATTACATATTAAAACCGTTTAAATTTTGTTAAAAAATAAACTTTTCACGTTTTATAAAATATAAGCAAATGGACACGGTACAGATGAAAAATCGCATAGAAGAGTGGAAACTGCCATCAACGTATAATTAAATTGCGAAGCACATATATACACTGTCGACCTTACTTTTACACACGTTTACATATTTTATCCCAAGAAATAACGCTTACATGCTTTTTAAACAGATCGGGGTTAAGTAATAATATTTAAATGTTATCAAATTATCTTAAAAGAGTCTCAATTAATTTGGCAACACTGATTTTGCAGTTGTTTAAGGAATATATTATAATTTTGACTTCATTTCAATAATCTAGGAGATATTGGTGATTTGGTGACTTTTTGCGCCGTTATTGTAATTTTAATTGCATAAAAAATGATTGCAAGACTTAGTTCTTTTATTATAAAATCATTTAATTTCTATAAAATACTTGATTCTGATTGGATAATAAATTCTTTTGATAACTGCATCAATAAAATCTAGAGTTCGCTTGCACTAAGCAGCCGGAACTACTTTGGCAGTTTCTACAATCATGTATATTCCCGCTTCCAGATTACTTTTTGAAGGAATAATTAAATACTTTTACTTTGATAAATATTTCCCTGAATTTCGGATCCTGTCCGTTACGTTCCTGACTCATTTTCTACTTTCGTTTCAATTTGAATTATCTCCCTTTGCTAAACAAATGAAATCGTCTGCATGACGACAATATAGTTATGGGAAAGAAGGGAAGAAATCGTTTAATCGGCATATTTTTCTTAAATGTTTGACTTTGAGATATCTGGTATGAAACAATAGAATTCTGAAAAAATGTTTTATTATGCTACCAAAGCTGGGAAAACCGTAAATCTGTTATAAATCGTGGGAAACAAATGATCGAGAAAAACGATACTCCATGAATGAGGACGGAATTCTTTTTATCTAGGACAGTCGGCAGCAGATTCTTTCAGGTTTTACAGCATTGACAGGTTGTGATACTTATTCATATATTCGGTTTCAAATTCAGATGGAGAGATGCGCAAATGAAATCCAAAATTTCTGTGACCGAGAACTTTTAGGATATTTGAGTAGCTTCCCTTTATATTTACGAACTAAGATAACTTACCCGGAAAAATATACCAAGAGGGATAACACAACAGGTAAGTTTTTGTGTTAAAGAACTGTAAATTATTTCAGAGAATGTTGGTATCCCACACGACAATATTTGAGAACGTTTTTTCGTTAGATGGTTAGAGCCATTTTGAATTTTCAGCAACGTTAACGTTATGGTGATGTATTCGTGCGCACTGTTTTTGATGCGTAAATTTAATAGAAAAGTGCAAGAAACTTTCATTTTATTGGTTTAAAATCATAATTAAATGATAAGAAATGAATGTAATATTTTTTTTGTTTGATCGATGTATCAAAGAAAAAATTCGGACGGAAAACTTTTTCATCAATGCGCTACGCGCATTGATGAAGTTTTCCGTCCAAATTTTTTCTTTGATACATCGATCAAAGAAAAAAAAATTACATTCATTTCTTAAATCTAAAAGGATAAATGTAGAAATGCAAGGAAATGCTCATATTGATTCTTGGTAATCTTTTTTTTTCCCAATGTCGTATAGTTTCTTGAATGCTAGTTCTTTGAATTTCTAAAATTTCTTTCCTCATAATACATGAGTACATGTATCGTAGTGGCGTATGTTCCTTTCTGCTAATGATCAAGGCTAGTGTTAAGTTTAACCTGAGGTGCGAAGTGTGGGTAGACAAGGAGCTTCCTCTTGAAGGAAAAATTTTTGCAAACATCATACATCTTCAATTTTAATTTGACCATTGAAAAAAATATTATGATATATATAGCTTGTATCGTGATGTGATGACAACTTAGCAAAACTGAGAACTCTTAACTTATCTTTTTACTCAATATCTGCTTATAAAATATGTAAACTTCCTTACTGAATAATTAGATCAAAACGTTTAATTTCCTACTAACTAAATATAATTCAAGTTATCAGTTTCGTTTCCTGCACACATTATGGGCTCCTGTTGCTTTTGATCAAATTTTCAAAATTTTTTTCACTATTTTGGGACCTTTGTGGCAAGTGGATTGTTGTGTGAATGTCTTATGCGAGGTATTGAATATTGATCGAGGGAGTCTTGCATCAGGCATCCAGAGGAATACACGATTTAAATCGTCGGCTTGCAATGGCGATTGAGGGAATAAATGTACTTATCTTCTATTAGAAGCAATGAAATATTTTCAAAGTATCATTTAAAAAATGACAAATATCCCATCTAGAAGCTGAACAGTCTATGTCATTAATTTTCGTCGAGAACGACGAAGAACACTGCAGTCTATAAATAGATCGAGGTCGTGAGTGTGCGTGAAAAGCACGCCCTCTGGTTTGAGAAAATTGTGCAAATATTTTTCCCAGAATTCCAATTAACGCAAGCGCACTTGCAGTTTCATCCTAACGTAACTAGTCAGCCCGGGGGCTGACTAATTATCAAAAATCCTTACGCTAATGAACTATGTTCTTTGACTTATGAAGTTTTCAAAGTCATTACTACAAATGTTTATTTTATATAGATAAAACTTTGTTTTAATTTGTTGCTTTATTTAGCGTTTTTATTATCTCAAAAGCGGTTGAGAATAAGAACTATATTTTTGCACGTAACTTTAAAATGGCGACTATTGGGTTAACATCCTGCCTTGAACAGGATCACATAAGCCGGCAATTGCTCTTTGAGCAATCAGCCCGGCTAAAAACTCTTGAACTTTCTAAGTCAAGCGAAGGGAATAGTTATATCCTTAAATATAAAGGAGCGCCACTCACAACAGATGACGAACATCTATGCATGTGCAGAAAGGATTTTCTCTCCATTAATGTTCAAGCAGTTGTTGACGGCGATTTAAGGTTTGCATTGAAATTTATATGCGTCCGGATCGATAGATCACGGGTGCAAATTGTCTTTGTCCTGTCTGTCTGTCAGTTTGTCTCCAAACTTTAACCTTCGCTATAACCTTTGAGCCATAGGAGATAGTGACTACATATTTGGTATGCAAACTCCAGTAATTAAGTTCTTTCAAATGACACTAAGGTCCATGACTGTGATCTATATCCTAAAAATAGCCTTATTGAAACTGTGCCATAACTTTTGAACCATAAGCATGATAAGTGATAGACTTCATATTTAGTATGCCTCTTTACTAATCTACTTCTTTTTCAAATGACACCAACGTCAATGACCTTGTGACCATAAATGTGGCCTTTATGCTAGAAATAGCTTCTCTGAACTTCGTTGCCGCATAGTGATTCATACACACATCTTGTTTTTTAAATGTGACATTAAACTATAACTATTATAGATTGTAGGCATATTTATAACTGAATTACATCAAAGAAAATATAAAACTTATTTGCCATGCAATCAATTTTCAGGTGTACTAATGCAGCCTGCAAATTCCCCGGGTCAACCTATGACGCATACATCCTACAAAATAGCCTATAGCCAAAACTAATGGTAAGTCTTCAGGAGGGAGCTTGGCTGATCGGTGATTCAGGTTCTCCCTTTAAAGAATAGGTAATGACACGTATCAGCAACCTTAGGGTTGGACAAGAGCAATGCTTCAATTGTGCTCACTGCCGTACAAGAAATGTCATTTAAAGAACGTTTGGTGTGCTGAAAGCTCGTCATAATTCGTGTCCGGTCCATATCTTTCTTATGGATAAACTTGATAAGTTCCTATTTTGCAAAAAGATTCCTAATGATCTAAGGGTGTGTCATGACCTTGACCCAAGGTCATCTGTGCAAGTTCAAGGTCTCTGAAAAGAATTTTATAATTCATGTTCGGTACATATCTTTATTATGGGTAAAACTTGAATCTATTACTTCACACAAAGACAATCTGATTAAAATCAGGTCCTTTGATCCGCTCACAAAGATCGCTACACAAGGATCTGAAGAAACCCCATTCAGATTGCACACAAAGATGGCTTATGACTTGAGTGTGTGTTATGACCTTGAGTCAAGGTCATTTTAGATCAAGGTCACTGAAAGAATAAAATTCATAATTCGTGGACGGTGCACATCTTGATTATGGATAAACTTGGTAGGTTCCTTTTTTCACACAAAGATTCCTTATGACTTGAGGGTGTGTCATGACCTTGATGCAAGGTCATCTGTGCAAGTTCAAGTTTTGTACTTTCGTTTCATTCATTTAAGAAATAAGGTATCATTTTTTGAGTTTTACTGGGATGTAAAACGAGTTGGTCACGTGATCAAATCTCATAAGCCCGAAGGGCTTTATGGAAGATTTGATTATGTGCCAACCCGTTTTACATCCCAATAAAACTCAAAAAATGATACCTTATAACTTATATTTACATTTGTGACTGATTTATTACAAATAGTA